CTCAGCTCCACTCCAGCAATGACCGTCTGCCAGGATCAAGGTTTCATTTGAACGCTCACAGTGAAGGCTGCTGGAGTTCAGACTGTGCGACAGTCTCCATTCTAACCCCTCATTTTCAGTTATTTGTAACTTTCCCAATCCTTCCCCTGTCGGCCTGTCATTTCCCTGCTTTGTCTGAGGGGTCATTGATCACTCACACTGATCAGAAACCAACTCAGCAGTTTCTGAGAAGGAGGAGAGGGCAATAAATAAACTTTGCCCAGGATTAACCGTTTCCGGAGCCAACTATGTCAGAGCTAAGGGGGAAATGGGGGGAATCTGCCAAGTTCCATTCTCCCATCTAAGGGCCCACACTAGAGGATCTGGGTTTTGTGTCGGGGAATGGACATTATTAGGAGCTGCTCTTTGCTCACTGGGATGATTTATTTCCATCATCTCCAGGCCGCCCAGCTGGGCTACATGAGCTTCTGTTTATTCATGAGCAGTTCTTTATTGGGCAGAAAATGGAATTCAGAGAATTGGGCGGTGACTCTGCCGCCCCTTGTGCTGAGAGCTAGGAATGAAAATCCCACTGAAGAACTCAGTGTTCTTGTCATTGTTTATTACTAAAGACCAATGAGACACATCACAGTCTGAGGAGGCTTCTCCTCAGGAATTCTCCTGGCTCCTTGCTCTTGGCATTTGGGAAAGTGCTAGAAACATCACCAATGACACAAAACGACACGGAGTCTCAGCAGCACCAAGACAGGCCAATACACACCCTCAAATGTTCATTAGCAAAGGCTATCTTGTGTCTATGTTCGTGGGGAAGGGAGAACCCGGCTCTGTCCAATACTACTCTGAGTCCCTGCCTTCTGGAATCTTCTGTTCCTGACCCATGAAGTTCAGTTCAGTTCCCAGCTGGCCTGAATTCAAGCGTTTGCAGGAGTTCCTCACAATAGAGCTGGTCTCACACGCAGGGTCCCATGACAGACTGGCCACTGAGGGAGGGGAGGCTCTCAAATCCCTTCCCCAGGACCCAGATTGAACCAGATGGAAAATCAAACACTGACTTGACTCTCCAGTTGGGAATATTTAGCCTCTGTTTATCTTTCATGGATTTTAAAATGGGTGACCAACCACAGCCTCACGTAACTCACCTCAACCCTGGGAAGGGAAGGGTCTGCTATGAGCAGCACAAACGGTGAGCAGGGGGTGATGGCGACTATCCCGACACTGGCTGAGATTCTGCAAGAGCAGGAGAAGATGCATCAATGACTCAGCATTGACTTTATCAATGATCTGTTAACATGATCTGCAGGCAGCTTGGGGGAAAAGCAAACATCATGTATCACTGGAGCAGTACGTGAGCAGCGTGAGGAGCAGAGGGGCCCAGGCCATGGTGGGAAATCAAGATGAGCTCAACTTCCTGAGGCAAACGGGTCTGTGGCTGGGACCCTCCGATTCTCTCTTAACCCCCCAGGGCTGGAGAACGGCCCCGTCATGAAAATCTGTTCCCTGCTGATTGGCTGCCAATACCTATAACCATCACCCCCTTTGGGAGGACAGTAACACGGGGAGAGCTTGTCTATATAAATCCCCATTTTAACGGAGATAGGGAAGGATTCTTTTGTTTTCTGTTTGCCAGGGGACAATAGGGAGAATCCTGGAGCTGAGGAGCTCCCAGTCTGCACAACCTGCTCTGCCACTTACTTCATGGACCAGAGACTCCATGACTGTCTGCACCTGGGCCAACAAAACCAACCCCTTTCAGTCACATCTGACCAGGCTTTGGGTCACAACCAGAAACGTGGCTGGATTCTGGGTGATCACTGATGGGGGCTGCTGAGTGGGGTGGGGGCTGGGAGGAGTGGAATCTGGGGCAGAGCCATGGTTTGGGGGTCGCTGTCTGGGGGAGGTGGCTCGGCTGAGCAGGGAGCAGTGGGGTGCTGGGGGGCTGGTAGAGGGATAAGATGGTGCTTCCAGCTGCTTCCTTTTCACCTGCTCTTTTACTCAGGGCAGCACCATTTGAAGGTGGCGAGGAGCCTGTTGGTCACTGTGAGTCGTGGGGGCTGCAGGTGGCCAGGGGACAGCTCATCACCACCTTTACACATGGGTCCCTGGGGCAGAGCACGGAGTGACTGGGGGGAGGGAGGAAGCAGGAGGGGCTGCAGGCGTAGGCAGCCCCAGTGCTTCTCCCCCTCTGCCCTCAGGGTTTGGGGATTTCATCGTGCCCTTGGGGGAGAGCCCCTGCCCTAGAGATCTGGAGCAGGGAGGGCAGACGGGGCTGGACGAGAAGCTGGGTCCCCAGAGCTGAAGGCCCCTAGGGGAGCTCATATGTACCATTGATCTAAGAGCCGTTAGGGTATGAACAGCCCCTGAGCCCAGAGGCGACTCTACCGCAGCAGCTGGTGGCTGGTCACTGTGACCTGCACACCCCATTCCGCACCCTTCTGCAGCTTGTGCCTGATCAGCTCCCCCTAGTGGTCAATGTCACACACGCCAGGATCCTGTTCCTCTGCAGGGCAGTGGAGCAGCATCACTTCACAGGCATTGCAGCACACAGGCTGTTCCTTCGCAGCTCCTTCTTCTGTGTGTGACCAGGCTGATGTCGCCATCGACTTCCTCCCACCTCTGGGGAGATCAGT